AGAATGACTATGACCTGGATGACTGAGAATCTTCATCAGCATTATCTATTATATAAGGCATTGGACCGTGTTCGTCATGGTGCTCTATGGGGGGGGGGGACTTTATAGTCGTCGGCCCTTTCTTAAGTACAAGACGAGCAGGAGTTCGGTATGCATCGTCGGTAATAAGTCAGACATGTCCCAAGTGCATGCTGGACTGCAGCAAGGCTATCCTCCTTCACTGGTTTTTAAACCGAGCCAACCCCTGGACGGGGTCCTGTTTAATGCCCAGCGGATTTCCTCCTTCATTTTGCAGATGATGTGTTTTTCCCCCTCCCTCCTGTGATACCCATAGCATACACAGGGGATTGAGTGTGAAGTAGATGAGATGAAGATCTGTATCTCCAGGTCTGAGGCCACGGTTCTTGGTTGAAAAATGGAGGCTTGCCCTCTTCAGGTCAAAGAGAGGTAATGCCTGAGGTATCTTGGGGTCCTGTTCACTGGTCGGGGGATAATGGAGTAGGAGATCAGCAATGCCACTATCATGCAGATGTTGCACCAGTCTGTTATGGTAAAGAGAGAGGTAAGCCAAGAAGCAGATCTCTCCATTTACTGGTTGGTCTACATTCCTACCCTCACCTATAATCATGGAATCTGGATCATGACCAAAAGAAAGAAATCCTGGATACAAGCTGCTAAAATTAGCTTTCTTTACAATATGGCATGGCATTCCCTCAGAGATAGGGCGGGGAGCTCTGCCATCCACGAGAGGCTCGGAGTGGTGCAACGTCTTCTCTATACTGAGAGGAGTCAGCTGGTGTGGCTGAGACAGCCATTTTGGATGTCTCCCTCAGAGAGAAAAAAGGGGTATGAAATAAGTCCAAATGAATTCCACCTCGTTTTCTTGAAAAAATTATTAAACATGAATTTCAGAGGATTTTCATTATTTAAATAAAATGTTTTTAAGCTTTTCAATGGAAACAAGGCTAAGACTTGTGGGGAATGTATCATTAACATGTGCAAAGGTCATGTACAGTATAGGCCTGGATAAGAATGCTGTGGTAAACCGTTTTACATTTCTGAATATATGGATCATGAATCATAGGTAAGCAGTGGTCAGTTTGAGTCAGCTCGCAGAATGAATGGATGTTCCTCTAACCGCATGCCAAGCCTTCTCACATCTTGAAATCATAAATCTACGATCCACTCTGGTCCTTCTCAAAGAGCTTGGTGTCTACTCCTCCGTGATGGATGGTGGTTTTCGGCAAACGTCAGGAGCAGCGTTGGAAGTACAATAAAAGGGGATTTTCTGTTAGTAATCTGGCTTTTTATAACAGAGTACATGGCTTCAGAAAATAACTGCCAACACGATTCCCTCTGTATTAGTATAGCCTGTGGACTTTCATTTGACACTTGACCTCATAATCTTTAGTGAGATTTATGCTTTCATTTTGAAAATTCTGCAGATTAAAAGAGACCCGCTTAAGATTGATAAGGTAACACTATTTAATTCAATAACTCAGACCAGATAAATCTGCTGTGGTTGGGATGTTTGTACAAACCAAGCCTGGAGGAGATTATTCATGCTTGGCTGCATTTTTCCCTATTTTAGGGAGTTGCTACATTCGGTTTATTATTCCCTAGGAGGAGCCACTAGTGTACATTTGTTTTAAAAGACAACAAAACCTCCTGACACACAGAGCACCAGTATGTCATCACATATGACATATCTTCTCTCCATGGAAAAATTATTCTTTGTATTTAGGTTTTTTACTGTTCTGCCAGGAAAATAATTTTCAACTTAATTACTCCAAGAATTAGAAATGTGTGAATAAAGCAGGAGCAAAAATTCAAAACAAAGCTTTCTGTTTTTTCCAATTTTGTAAAGAGTGTTGATATAATATATTGATAGCTGAGTTCTGGAGTTTGATGCATCTGAATACAATATCAGCTCTAGCTTGGTGTAGTTTTTTAACATGTATTTAAGTAAATATATAATGAAAAGATGGCAGTTTTCATTCTAAAAAACACAAGTACACAACACAACTTCCCTGTATTTGTCATGGTGCTGAGGGCCAACTTCATTTCAGCAGTCATATAAAAAAAAGAAAATAAAGAAAAAGAATTTGAATAATTTTACTCCTAAAAATGAATTAACAGCAAAAACGAGCGTTTTATCTGTAATTGTTGGGTAAAATAAAGGTTAGTTAGCTTTTGTATAAATCATATATAAAAATATGCAAATATATAAAATATATATGAAAATAGTTTGCAAACAGACTATTAATTTGTAGTATGCCTTATAACCCAGTGTGCTTAAAAGTGCGAAAACACGGTGTGCTTTGGGATGTCCAACAGTTTCCAGGATTCACCGGGACTTTTCAGGACATCACTGATGGAAATAGCCACCAGTGCAGAGCTAACATTCAAATGGTAGCGGCTGAGTATTGGTGCACTTGGATGGTCAGTGCAGAAATACTTTGGTACAAGTCTTTTGAAATAAAAGAGCCACTTCAGACCAAGAACAAGAAAAAAAATCAATAAAAAACAGGAAGTTGTTGCCAATAGAGGGCGCTAGGGCGCTGCCCCACCCACCCAATGACCTTGATTAAATCATAAAAATATAATAAAATTTAAATATTTCTAAATATATTGATATATACATAATTTAGATGTGCAAGATAAATATTTGATCTTTAATTGTGAGTAAAGCCGTTTCATTTTTTCGTCGGATTGGTGACGAATTTCCACCCTAAGGGCACAAAAATGTTTGCTCATTAACTCTTGTTAAAAGTTGAACATGCAAAGTAGTTTGTCTGCGATACGGATGTATAGGTGAGCTCCGGGCGCACCAAAGATACACACTAAGGTGACAGGAACTGTTGTCATAGTTGTAGTGCGGATGATCGACAGGCTGAGTCGCGGAAGGGAAGCAAACTTTACCAAGAGAACCTGGAGGTGACACGGTTTGGACCTGATCGGCCAAACATCAAAATTGGCTTGGCTAACTGCATGCAGCAAGGCTAACGCTTTTTTCTGCTGTCTTGACTTCCTGCCTCCTTTTTCAAACGTCAGGATCTGACCCAGCATGGATAAAGACAGGTAGGACTGATTTAAAGCACTTTTTAGAAAAGGCAAAGAAGAATAAATAATCTGGGATTCACATGGAAAATAATATAATATAGTGTACTTTTTCTAGGCTTTTGTTAATTTGCATAGTTGCTCTTAAATAAACATATTCTCAGAAAAAAAAATATTTTTTTTATATAATCAAAAAAAAAAGGTGACTAATAGCTTCTCCATTATTAAACTGGTAAATTATTTTATTAGATTTGAGACACAATATTGGATCATGCAAAGCACAGATTTGCCTTCACAAAGCCTCAGAAGGTCAAGATTTGTGTAGAAAAAGTAACCCTGTACATGAAAATATATTGTTTTTTTTTTAAATAAAGTGTTTCTATAATGTTTTTTGTTGTTGCCATTCATACAAATATACTGGTGTGATAACTTAGTATATATTTGATTGGTTTTTGGTGTACGTCTATTTTGGATTTATAGCCCCCCCAGGAAAAAACTCAACCAGCCGCCACTGGTTTTGACTACAGAAGATTTACACATTTACACAAAGTGATTTTTTACTGCCAATAATTTGTCTGGACAAGAAAAGGTGAGCATTAAAATGAGCTACTTTAAGGTGGAAAAAGTGAAGCGTTGTGATTTGTGTGTGGAGTTGGCTCCTCTTCCAAAGTTTGGGCTTACTCACAGTTTAGGCAAGAACATTGCCCTGAACAAAGACTGAAACATCCTCCAAGTGCAACATCTTCCAACATTCCTAGTAATGCGTAGGGAGGATTTGGGAGTTATCCATTTCCCACAGGGTAAGATTGATAAAAGAGTGGTAAAAAAGTGCAAAAGTCAGAATAATAAAAATCCTTCAAATATGGAGCAGGAAAGTTGTGCAGAATGATCACTGTTTACATGCATATGCTGCATTGCTAATTAAAGACTTTGAATATATTGAATATTTCAAGAATGTTGACTCAGTTGGAAATAGAACCACCGAAGATGACAAAGAAAGAAACGGTATTAAGGCCAAAAATCAAGAGCCTGTCCAAGTGTAAGCTGAAAATCCAAATTTAAATAACCCAGTGTTGCAAAAAAATAAAAAATCTCTCCTAAACATGATATTAAAAGAATTATATGCTAGATTAAAAAGATAAGCAGCATATGAGAAAAAAAACCTAGGAAATAAACCAGGATAAAAAATATCCTAAAAAACGTTTGTAGCAGTGCTGGTTGATTTTTCCCAAAAGGTTTACAAAGCTTGATATAAATATCAGCTCCTATGATTACAAAGGCAAACAGTGAGCAAATAAAACATCCTGCCAATGAGAAAAACTGCAATCACTTCATTTCGTAAAGCCTAATGTTGTTTTAATGAGCCGACAGTGAACCGGTGTTTAGAGTTAAAAGGTTTCTGGGTGATTCAGTTCAACAAGAGCTCGGTCCGCAAAAAGACCAGCAGTGGAGGACACGGTGCAAAGACTGATAAGAACCAGACAAATAAAAAGCTAGCACACTCCTCTCATTCCCACAAACTGCTGTCTGTGGAGTGGAGCGTGAAAGTAGGACGAGGTGTTCAACACATAAAACACGTCAATCAGAGCCTTAGAGAGTAAAGGAAGAGTAAAGGTGATTGATGACAGATGAAAAAAGATCTCACACAAAAACAGATGCATAAAGCTTTGCTGTATTTCCCTTAAAAAAATAAAAGTAAGTATTCCTTTAGTTCTTTATAGTTTAAGTAAATCCACACTGTTTGAAAGAGCTTTACAGGCAACAATAACGAGTAATGTCAATCTGATAAAGAAGATTTGAGCAAAAAAACTAAAAAATAATTTTAAAAATCAGGAACAAACCAGTCATCATACATCTGTTTGAGTAAGTAACCTAAACAAATATTTAATCATAAATCACACATGTGCAAACATGCAAAATAGGAGGAGATGGATACCTACCCATTGGTTCCAAAACAAACTGGTCTTGAGTGACAGCCAAAGGAGGCTGGACACAGATGGACAGCTTAGCAGACTGTAGAACAGAGCTGGCCTTTACCTTCACCTGCAGAGATTATGGTAAACATGTCAACCCAGAGGAAGGACATGTCTCATCATCATCCTTTATTAGGATGCCTTCAGGGTGGCGGCATCTTATACTCCCAATAAAAACAAATCACTACGCTACTGTGATTAGATTGCAATTGATTAATAAATCCTCCAACTTCACTGTATTTCATCATAGACTTTTGTTTCTGGCATGGTTTTGACTGCTGTCATTATATTTATAACATTTGTGTATATCAAGGAAGCGTGTTTGAAAAGCATGAAGATAGATTCCCTGTTTCAAAAAAGATCATAAATCCAAGAGAAAAGATTCCAGATGTTTGACTTTTTTTAAGTTTTTTTTTTCCTTTTTTTTATTTCTATCTGGGGTGTTCCATTTCTTCAGGCACAGCCGTAGCCACGTGCATCATGTTCTCACAAAAAAAGATGTTGAGATCAGAAGTTATGCTTAAAAACAAATTCAAAATATGGTCTCTACTTTGACAGTGAAACCAAAGGAAAAACACAACTGGGTATCACAGGTTAGGCTGCATCTGAATGAATCCCAGGGCTTAAAAAATAAGGATTTGGATGTTTGGCCATGATGTACAGCACCATGCATCCCAAAAAAAACACAACAAACCCACACCAACATTTCAGGCTTATTATTTGGGTTCGTTTTGGAGCCAGGGCACCTTTCCCCTTATAATGAGTAGGCCGTAAAACCTTCTTAATATTAAACTAAAGTATACTAGAGTCAAATGTGAAATCATCCATCAGAGAAGAAAAGCTTAGCAAAAAAGAGGATATATAATTAAAAAGACAATGATCCCAAACAAGAATCAAATCTACATTATAATAGCTGAAAATGAAAACTACTAAATCATTGCAAAATTTTGCACAGAATAATAAGCAAATACTAAAGAACTAAACAGGCTAAAGAAATAATGGAAAGAATATATTTTTATTTATAATTATTTTCTACCAGAACTAAAAAGGGTGAATGCTTTTACTTTATAACACTTTATAAAAGAGAGAGAGAAAAAATTAAATAATTTACCTGAACAGTAACTGAAGGAACTGGAAGACCATCCATATCTTGGATTAGAGCTTGCTGTTAAGAAAATAATTAAGAGATTGAATATTCTGTATTTATGTCTTCATGTTTACATACGTAGATTAATGTGCGCATAAAAAAACATATGAGTTTATTTACTGATGATGCATCCAGGGAGGGAAACACAATGGCCTTGACAGACAGGTCCTCCAGAGCATCAGATTTAGGCAGAATATCTAAGATGAAAGACATTTATTTTATACACTAAAATAGGATGTTTCTCTGTACGCTGAGAAAATGCAAGGTACTGACAGAGAACATTGGAGCTTTAATCTGAATCAAACTTTTTTTTCTCAACTGTTTCAGATTTGGGTCAGTAAGGAGTGAAAAAAAAAAAGACTTTTCTACTTACCTTTTCTTTTTCTCCATTTTTATGACATAACAATAAAAATTATAAACTTCAAACCCTATCCTACTGAAAATCTAAGTGTCTTAGAAGAGCAGTACAGGAAAACCTCATTTTTACTCTGGGCATACTCAATAAAAAACAACTGGTTTAAAAGACACAGTACTCCTACACTGCAAAAATAATCTAGAAATAAGTCAAAATCTCTTAAATTAAATGTAGTAACACTGAATTTGAGGAGGTAAATAAGATGATTTGCCAATAGAATGAGTATTTTTAATCTTAAAATAATAAGGTTAGATAATATGCAATTGAAATAATAAAATGCAGTTGTTTATTTTACTTTAAATGTAAATTATTTTCTTCCATTGGCAAAATATCTTACCAATTCATTTTAAGAATAAATGCACTTATTTTAAGAAATAATGATACATTTTTTGCAGTGCAAGGTATGCCCTTCAAAAAATGTAAAATAAGGAGCTCAAGATGCTGTAAAAATCAGTGCATTTCCTATAGGTGGTCAATGTGCAGATCAGCTACAAATATTGTACTGTATGGATGAAAGATAACAGGAGCAAAGGTGGTTCCGACCCTATTTAAATGAGGATATGCGTTTGCTCCCGGCTCCATCAATCTACGCAAAGGTCTTTCTCCCTTCTACTACTATTTTTCTTTTTGAAAACTATGTTCATAATTATAGAGACTCTTTGTATTGTTGGTTATTGTACCTTTCTGTCACAAAAAAGCAGACATTTCAGATAGAGACATGAAAAGTGATCCTAAAATCTGTTTGCCGGGTTAGGAATTACATTTGCATATTCTGTTCTCATCTTTTGTATGTTCTACTGATCAGTATCAGTTGTGCATAATGATCAAGTTCAACAAAATAAATAGAGCACAGGTACTATTTTGGACAGGATTTCTAGGCGCAGCCAAGGACTGGAGGGGGTCTGGTTTGGGGACCAGCGGATCTCGTCCCTGCTTTTTACGGATGACGTAGTTCTGCTGGCTCCCTCCTGCCAAGACCTACAGCGTGCGCTGGGGCGGTTCGCAGCCTAATGTGAAGCGGCAGGGATGAGAATCAGCTCCTCCAATTCCGAGGCCATGGTTCTCGACCGGAAAAAGGTGGCTTGTCCCCTTCAGGTTGGAGGAGAGCCCCTGCGTCAAGTGCAGGAGTTCAAGTATCTTGGGGTTCTGTTCACAAGTGAGGGAAGAATGGAGTGGGAGATCGATAGACGGATCGGTGCGGCTGCTGCAATAATGCACCGGTCTGTCGTGGTGAAGAGAGAGCTGAGTGAAAAGGCAAAGCTCTCAATTTACCGGTCGGTCTACGTTCCTTCCTACCCTCACCTATGGTCATGAAATCTGGATCATGACCGAAAGAACGAGATCCCGGATACAAGCGGCTGAAATGAGCTTTCTCCGCAGGGTGGCTGGGCTCTCCCTTAGAGATAGGGTGAAGAGCTCGGTCATTCGGGAGAGGCTCAGTGTAGAGCCAGTTCTCCTCCACATCGAGAGGAGGAGGCTCCCTGGGAGTCTCTGCTTAGTCTGCTGCCCCCGCGACCCGGTTCCGGATAAAGCGGGAGACAACGAGTACGAGTACTAGCTTTGCACAATATCATGTTTGCACGTTTTTTTTTAATACATGCAAATCTTTTGAAGATCAGGCCGTTGGTGAATATAAACTTAAGAAGAATCTACTGTTTTGTGAGAGTTTGTCTTATTTCAGGAAGTGCTTTCTAATTGAGACCATTGTAGAGCTTTTTTTTATCATCAGCTCACCTTGAGTCCTTGTGGCCTCTCTGATGAGCTTCTGCAGCTTCTTCATCTCAGCATCGACCTGCTCATAATCAGCTTCTCTGGCATCCACTTTAGGAGTTGAAAAAAAGGAGGGGTCTGTACCCATGTAAGAGCTCAAAAGATGACCGTCTGAACTCAAACTGACCACAGCTCCTTTCAGCTCCCTGAGGAATGAAGAAGAAAGGGTTAACACTGTAACAACTGCCATCTGTTGAGACCCCTTTCTTCACATCGTCTTTGTAGTTTAGCACTAGTCCTTCAGGACAGCAGCAGGCGAAGCCCAGTGCTGGTTTTTAAGTGGAAATAGAGGAGAGCATGAAGAAATGCTGAGTGATGCAATAATGTTCTAACTGTGTGATAACTTGCTGCAGATGTGTTTGCGTGTGCGTGATTTCTGTTCTAGTTCAGTGAGGCGGCATCACATTCATCCACACACAAATGCCCACATGAGACAGCCGGCTCCAGAGCTACACAGGAGGGTGTCTGAGTGAGCATGAAACTTTCCCTTTAACTGCTGTGGTAAAAAACACACTCCCACACGTGCACACATTGACAAGGTGACATTTACAGTGGAAAGACAAACCCTTGCAGAAACACAGAAAATTCACTATTACTGAATTGTATTACTATTTTATTACTATTAACTAAAACAAAAGCAATGCAGTTTACACAAAACCTGCTTATAAAATATCGATTTTGCTACTTGTATGACAATAAGTTTACATCATGCATGAACGGACTGATGACCAGGAAAAAGACAACTGCTTAAATCCAGGCCATTTGTCAGCAGAAAGTTTGTTATGCTGAAAAGATTACAGGAATTTTTTACAGATTATGCTACAAAGAAGTCGCCCTCATTATGTTGATGACTCAAAAAGACTGTTGGCTTGGTGCCAAGCCACTGTGTGCCTTCAAACAGGCAAAGCAGACTTGCAGAATCAGCACTATGATCTGCAAATAAAACGGTTTCAGTATTGGATCTGACCCGTTGCCCCATTCCGCTCCCGTTCTAGTTTGATTCAGCTCTGTGAAAAATCGTCACTGTCTGCTCAGAGTTGTTCAGACTCGGTTAAAACTTTAGAATAACATAAAGAAAGACTCTTTTTTTATTGCGGAAGACTGATTATTTTATTTACAGAAGTCACACTATCATAGGTCATTGTCAGTTTATGTATGACCTTTAAAAAGTCAATAATAAATGTGCTCTAGCTCAGATATTTTAGAGATGTGGGAATTATTCGCACAGAGATCAAAACCAGACAACCTTCCTCTGACTGGCTCTCATCAGTGTTCAACAGGTCGAGCACGTTCCCGCTTATTTAAAACATTGACATGGAAAAATCCTACTTTTATTTTGCTGTGAATGCACCATTTGTCTGGCTAAATTCAGAAAAAGCTTAGTGACATACACCTACCAGGTCTAACATAATGATTACCTGTCTAATGTTATTTGTTCTTCTTTTCCTGCTAAAACAGCTCTGACTCATTGAGGTCGAAACCGCAAAAAAATACATTTAAGATAGTTTATTTGACTTGAAATATGTATATTTGACCTTGTTTTTGGCAGGTAGCTAATGCTTCGTTCACACGGAATGCAATTTCAGCAGCAAAAAAGTCACACATGCCTCAAGAGCATCATTACGCTCCTGAATCGCATCCAGTAAAGTGTCCAGATGCGTCTGATGCTTCTGCTGCTCCTTTGTTCAATGGCAAAGAGCGACTTTGCTGTATTTTC